TACGTCTGCTCGTTTGCCAGGCCAGCCCATAAAAAGATAAGGTCGATGGTCCAGTAGTGGACTATTATGGTCTATTAATGCATGTTAACTCGTCGAGTACCGTATTTATAGACACAATTAAAGAACAATAGGTTGCGGTCACCGGTGACCGCTTGGTGTTTGACAGTTTAAAGTCACAAAACATCAAACCAAAGTTAGCGTCGTCGATACAAAACGTGTACTGAATGCAAGTCGGTTTGCTTCGATATAAATCTTAGTGTAATGTCCTCAGAAACCGAGATGGGTTGTTGATGTGAAAATAATGGTTTCTCATTTATAAAACGGTATTGGCAAACAGGAAAATAGGACGAAAATAGAGGCTGTGGTCTGATGGAGACCATTTCTCAACTGTGAGGTTTTTTTTAAGGGGGGAAAATCATCGAATGACTCCTCTCGCCTGGGTGAGGCGGGAGGGAGTGTCAGACTCTTACTGACTAAAAACTACCCCGTTCCTTCTCCTGCACGTCGAGCCGGAGCCCCGGTAACTCGCTAGGTATTCTGCGACAACTGTGAGGATACGGGTTTGATTAAGAAGGCCATGTGGTGATAAGTTAAGTAGAATATATTTGTAAGCACCCCTACTATTTCCAGTGATGTCGTGAGATCCAATTGAAGAATTAACTAAAAATAATGTTTTACTGACGCAAATATATCTACTGAGAAAATCGCTTATAGTTTCGAATCATGACTGCATGGTTGGCACGGTGCGGCTGCCGCGCAACGTGTAGTGGGTTCGATTCCTGCACCTAACAACTTTTTGTGTGTTCCACCAATTGTTGTTTCAGATCTAAGTGTCATGTTTATGGTGGTATTGTATGACTGTAAACGCACACATGACACAGGAGAAAATCCTAGTATGGGTGAAAAAAAAAACAAAAAGAAGTCGTAAAGGGACTCCAAGAAAGCCTAGTCAGTAGGCTGCGCGAAGTCTGCCCCAACCTCCCAAAACTGCTGCAACTCCTGTACACCAGGTTCTACTGTTGATACAACTATAAAAACCCCGGAACACTGAAAGCCGGCACGACCCAGGGACGTGAATAACTGTCTTATTGATGCTGGCCTAAATTGTCAAAGTCAAAGTCAAAATCATTTATTTCAATTAGGCCAGAATGGCACTTTTGAACGTCGAATAAATATTTTTTCTTCTTCTTCTTGGATCTCGCAACGAAATATCAGAAGACATTATTAGTGGAGAAGAAAAAATAATCTACCCTTAGTTACAAAATATATTTCGAATCATCGATTTGAACAAAAAACTACCGATACTTCCTTTAAAACTTTATCGATATATCGACACTTAATTCCCACATCACTAAAACAATTTTATGTGTTCTAATTGTCACGTGGGCGTGTGCTCGCGGCTTTTGGCCGTGGTCGTGGAAAATGATAATCGCAGCAGTAATTTGATTCAGTTACCTTTGTCCAATTACAGTAAAATTCGCCTTTTTATAATAGTATTAGCTAATGAGTTTACTGCCTGTTTTTGTAGTAAATTTTAGTACCTAATTGGGTACCTATGTAATTGAAATTAATGTTGTTGTAGTATTTTTTTGGTAGTGATGATTTTTTTAGTTTTTTCGCAAGTACATAATTATAAGGCGATTAACACAAGGCACCGCACACCGCAGCGGTAGGTGAAGCGGATCTCATGTTGCATTGACCTTTATGAAATCTGCATATGTCTATTTTTTTTTAAATGGGGAAAATCATCGAATGACTGCTCCCGCCTGGGTGAGGTGGGAGGTAGTGTCAGACTCTTACTAACTAAAAACCACCTCGTTCCTTCTCCTGCACGTCGAGCTGGAGCCCCGGTAACCCGTTAGGTTCTCCGCGATCGTTAGGTTCTTCGCGACATCCGTATATGCCTAACACACGTACACAGCCACCGTCCCACCGCGCGGTGGATTGGGGCGCCTTAGCGTAGACGCACGGATCACCGTGAGTACAGGATGTGTTGCATTGTGAACCGTCATACCATCGCCGCCCTCCACGGCGGTACGCGGTGCCGTGTGTTTATTGACTAAGATTGGCGAGTAACGTAAGGTTTGTTTATCGTCGTGTTAGGCAGTGTATTAGTATTTCCACTAAATTTTTATTCCGGGTCTAAGAGCTATGTATATGTATGTGCACAAGTACATATTATAGACAATAAAATCTAACCTGACATAGCTTTTTTTTGAAGGCGACAATCATCGAATGACTTCTCCCGCCCGGGTCGGGGCGAGATGGAGTGTCAGACTCTTACTGAGTAAAAACCGCCCCATTCCTACTCCTGCACTTCGAGCCGGAGCCCCGGTAACCCGTTAAGTCTTTCGCGGCTCCGTATCGGCATCAGCCCTGTTGGGCCCCATCTGTGGTGGTCTGATGGCTATTTGAGGCGCGCGCGGAACGCGACACCTGACATAGCTTAACAATACATTGTAGAGGTATTATGAATAGTATATGAGCATCGGTTGTTGCTTTGATTGTCACGCATGCAGCTCATAACTACGAGCCCCTAGTATGGCTCGAAACTAGTAGAGTGACCTGGACAAATAGTTACGAGAATAATCCATACGAGATTGTGAATCCAGGAACGCTATATTATAAAATCGATCAATGCACTTTGAGCCTTTTGACCTTCTCCGTGTGAGAAGAGGCCTTTGGTTAGCCGTGGTGACTTATAGGCTGTTGATGATCATGATATTCTTAACTTACTCATTTATCTGCCTATCCCCTTAGACCAAACTATGTTACGTTAAACTATGTATTTCCCCGTAGTCAAAGTTTATTTAAATGTAAATACATTCCTAACTAAGTTAGGCGCGTCCTTAGGCACGGCCGCTTGTCTGAAGTTAGGATTTAAGTGACTTAGGACACTTCTTGTGAACAGTGTATGTATGTATGTATGTATGTACATTATTATATATATATATATATATATATATATTTGTTTGTATAAATATGTAGTAGAATGGTTGATTGATATGTAGATTCAGCAGTTTTGTATATTTATATTTCACACACAACATCACGCCTTTTATCCTCGAAGGGGTAGGCAGAGGTGCACATTAGGCCACTTAATGCCACTGTACAACGTAACACCCACTTATCACTATTTATGTTATGAGTCCCATGTAATAGGGGGTGAGCCTATTGCACATTTCCAGACTCTGTGCTACTACTGAGAATTTTTAAAAAACCCAGTAATTCTTTGCCCGACCCACGAATCGAACCCGAGACCCCTTGCCCGGCAGGCACACTTGCGACCACTCGGGCAACGAGCCAGGCATTTATATTTCCTGGGTTTTAATACCCGGGTTAAATGAAAAGTCCAAATGATGACAGAGGTGTATTTTATGCTGTGTGGTGACAGCCCTGTGATGGTTGGTCTCCCTCACTGAAATACAAGAGATGGCCGGATTCCAAGGTTACGGTATCCTCCCCCTGTCTTCGGACCTCACATAACCCCTGGACATGCCACCTCACATGTCCCAGCTCCTCGAGCTACGCCAAATGTTCATCGAGCCGTAGCGTGCGTCCGTTGTACGTAGCCAGGGTCAGTTGGTGTTGTCGGCCTTTCGTAGTCCGGGGATTCTTAGCACCCCTCGTCCCGCCGTTACCATGGCCGCCGACTTGGCCAGGAATAGCGGGGCGACCGGAAACTGGGGGCCGTTTTTTATTGGGTGCGCCATATTAATATTATAATCATAATCACCACGCTGGGCAGGCGGGTTGGTGATCGTAGGGCGTAGTTTCTCGAACTTGGGACGCTGCTCCCCGCCACTAGTTTATTTAATTTGTCTACGCCTATATAACATGGTTATACCGCCATGTGCCGGTCGCCAGAACCTCGTCCGTTAATCGGCAGGATGTACCACGAGCAGGTGAGGTTGCCTGGGGTACTTAGATGGTGTTGTCCTCCCTTACATCCCTCTACTTTGCTCACGAATATTGTAAGAGCCGACTAAATGACTACACATTTAACAGAGATCGGTCAGCAGTACTCTGTGATAAAACTGATGTGTAATGAACGTGGATACAAAATCCCAACGGACAACACTGTTAGACAGAAAGCCCGCCAGGCATGATCACCTTGACTGGTAGGAGGATCCTCCTTCCGATCTTAGGGAACTCTACCCACTCAACTTCGGCTTGTTTTTTATTATCATTATCTTAAAGTATGTCGTGGTGACCCGGAGGTTTAAGACGCCCGCTTCTCATGCACAAGAGTGCGGGCTCACAACCTACCAACGGCAAGTACTAATGTGACTTTTTCCGAGTTATATGTACTTTCTAAGATTATCTATACACCACTGACAAACAGAGAAGGAAAACATCGTGAGGAAATCTGGGCTTATAATTTCTAATTATAAGTGTGTAATCGTGAACCCGCATTGAGCAAGCGTAGTGATTAATGCTCGAACCTTCTCCATGTGAGAAGAGGTTTTGCTTAGCAGTGGACATTTATAGGCTGTTGATGATGATGATTATTTTAAAAGAGCGTACATTTTAAGGAATAACAAAGGCAGTTTTTATTATGATTGCTGTACAGGATCAGGCTTTACTCAAGAGAGATCTTTTAATTCTACAAATCTCAATTCGTACAAAACTGACAATATTTTCTTAGGTTTAAAAGATTTCTTAAAAAAAGAAGGAATAGGTTAAGTGTGGGAGAGCCATGCTTCTGCACGAATGGGCCGGCTCGACAGGAGTAATACCACGGCCTCACAGAAAACCGACGTGAAGCAACGCTTGTAGTTTCGTCGTGAGGTTACCGGAGGCCCAATTACCCTCCCCTTCCCCAATCTCCCCAATCCCTGAATCCCCAACGATCCTCAAACTCCTAATCCCCAAAAAGCCGGTAACGCACTTGTAACGCCTCTGGTGTTCCAGGTGTCCATGGGCGACGCCGATTGCTTACCATCAGGTGATCCGTCAGCTCGTTTACCGGCTTATGCCATAAAAAAATCTCAACTTACCGCGTTGAACCTCCTGATGAGAGCTCTGACCGAACTCTTGGACGCGCTGTGTGATGGCGGTGTCCTCCTGATCATATGCCGTTCATTCACCGCACCGAGGACTCCTTCTCCGCCAAGATCCAAGGTCACCTGGCGTAGGTAGTCGATTGGGGGCACCTGGTGACAAAAATATTAATTATAGATTAGAATATGTTCTGATATTACGACCAGCCATTGAAGTGAGTTATAACGAGCTATTATTTGTGAGAAAGATGTGTCTTTGAAATGAATGGCGTATTTACTCTTGATAAAAAAATAATAATATGTTAAGAGAAATATATATGTCATCCTAGTTGTAAGCATTTTTGTAATTTATTCCTATTAATTGTAACATTTTAACTTTATTAATTGTAAAATTTAACATTGCATGCCGAAAACAGTAGGCGATGTATGTGGGACTATTTTTTGTAATAATTATCACCTGTAAGTACCTTCGTGCAAATAAAGATTCTTATTTCTTATTACACCTTTGGTATTTTTTTATGGGATAAGCCGGTAAACGAGCTGACGGATCACCACACTCAGAATACCAGAGGCGTTACAAGTGCGTTACCGACCTTATTTGAGGATTGTTGGGGATTTAGGGATTGGGTGAACGGGGTAGGGAGTGACTGGGCCTCCGGTGACCAAACTCAGACGAATACGAAAATTTGTTGGAAATATATTAAAATTAAGTTGTTCATAAAATCAATTAATGAAAGTGTGATTATTTTTTTAATATTTTATTCTAACTGCCTCGTTGGCCGAGGGGGTCGCAATTGCGACTGCCGGGCAAGGGGTCTCGTGTTCGATTCCCGGGTTGGGCAAATTACTACTGGGTTTAAAAAAATCTCAGTAGTAGCACGGAGACTGGAATTGTGCCCGGTATATGGCAATAGGCTCACCCCCTATTACATGGGACTCGTACATACAGAACAGGCATACCCCTTCGGGGATAAAAGGTGTGATGTTATGTTATGTTATTTTATTGTATTGAACAGTCGAAATAATTTATTTTTGATTAAGGAGAGTACTCAATTGCACGGTCTCTGTCTAATGTGTAGTCCTTTGTTAGATGGTACATTGTAAACATCTGAATACAGTAGGTATATGTATATGTATATGTATTTGTACATAAATCAATTCTCTTTGCATTCCTTACCGTTATACCCTTACGTAGTACTTTACCCTTTTATATTAAATTACCCCTTACCCCAGTATTTCAAAGCACTTTGACGTAAAATGTAATAATCTAAATTGTATTGATACATTGATTGATTCAAATGCATTTTACTTTGTCTATTTTGAAGTAAATTTAGATTTTTTAAGGGGGGAAAATCATCGAATGACTGCTCCCGCCTGGGTGAGGCGGGAGGGAGTGTCAGACTCTTACTGACTAAAAACCACCCCGTTCCTTCTCCTGCACTTCGAGCCGGAGCCCCGGTAACCCGTTAGGTTCTTGCAGTGATGACACCCAGGCCCTGACACACAGGTACCTCCCGAAATTTCCATGTTCGGTGAGGACCTGCGTCAGGTGGTAGCTGAGGACGCCGTAGCGTCCCTCAAGCTACTCCTCAAAGAGGGGACTTACCGCTGCAATGGCAGCGAGCCCAGCCCTCGCCTCGGTTGCGACAGTCGTTGCTGCCATTCCGCCATGAGATCGCGCCGGAGCTTCTCCCGCCACGCACTTATCTGGCGCGGCAGCGGAGTATAGATGATAGTTACAGAATTATTATAGTGCTTTATACTTAGGAGTACAGACATTGCAACATATTTAGATAAGTAGGTACACATTCACTGTTATTAACATTATTAGTATTAAAGTTATTTATCTGCCTGCCTCGTTGGCCGAGTGGTCGTAAGTACGACTGCTTGGCAAGGGGTCTGGTGATCGCTTCTTGGGTCAGGAAAAGTAGTACTGGATTTAAAAAAATCTCATTAGTAGCACGGAGTCTGGAATTGTGCCCGGTATATGGCAATAGGCTCACCCTCTATTACATGGGAGTCATAACATAAATAGTGAAAAGTGGGTGTTACATTGTACAGTGGTATAATGTGAACCTCAGCCTAAAGCTGCCTCGGGGATAAAAGGCACGATGTTATGTTATGTTATGTTATGTAAAATTATTTATTTATTTTATAAAAACGTTGCCCCACACTAGTATTTTCTCTTGTGTCGTGGGCGCGTTTACAAACATACAAGTTCATTTCACTAAGACCCAGAACAACAATCTGTGGATCACACAAAGAGTTGTTCCGTGCGGGAATCGAACCCGCGACACGTTGCGCTGCAGCCGGTTGCCCAGCCACCGCGCCAACCGTGCAGTCAAATTGTAGGTAGTAGTACGTACAAATCATAAAGCACGGAGTGTATTAAATCCCGGATACGCGGGCGACGTCGTTGGTAGAAGCTAGTATAGTTATATGTTTAGGAAAATACTTAAGATATAAAAACATACTATATCCGACATATATTTTCCCCTCAAGATAAGCGAGTTGTGAGCTTATTTATCGGTTAAGCGATTCAATCGATTGGGAATCGGCGACCCTTAACCGAACATAGGAAATGGGATTACCTTAGTTCGGCCACAGAGGAGGGAAAATATCGTAGATATGGTATTAGGCATTAGTTGGTAGTGCTTATATATTTTGAAGGAACAAAATTTGGTGTAATCTATAGCTAAGGTTATAATAATTGTAACATGTAAGAGTTCACATCTAAGATTTCAGCTTGGTCTAGTTTTTTTATGGTATAAGCCGGTAAATGACCAGACCAATCACCTGATGGTAAGCAATCGCCGTCGCCAATGGATAACTGAAACACCAGAGGCGTTACCAGTACGTTACCTTGTGGTCGAAATGCTTCACCCAGTTGTACAGTCTCTTCTTTATGCCTTTAGGATCAATTCACTCTGTCTCCTGTAGTAATTCACCGGGGGAAGTGGAAACTATAGTTTTTTATTTTTCTCCTCTTATAATATCTTCTGATTCACTTTGTTGCGGGAACCAAGACAGTTACTCATGTCCCTGGGACGCACCGGACTTGAGTGTTCCGGTGTTTTCATGGTTGTATTTACTGTAGATCCTGGTGCACAGGAGTTGCAGCGGTTTTGGGAGGTTGCGGCGGGCTTGTCCCAAAAAAAAGTGCGTTACCGGTCTTTTGAGGAGAGGATTCAGGGATTGTGGAGGGGCCTCACGTAACCTCTCTCACACAACGCAAGCGTTGCTTCACGTCGGTTTTCTGCTCGGCCGTGGTATCACTCCGGTCGAGCCGGCCCATTCGTGCCGAAGCATGGGTCTCTCACAAATAAATTAGTTTAGTTTAGATATTAATATTCAAAAACTATGTTTTTCTGACACAGTTTTTGAATACAAATGAGTGTGTTGTTTCGACAATACCTTTTTATTTATTATTTAGTGGTTCCGTGCGAGAATTGAACCCGTTACACCTAGTGCGGTAGCCGGTTGCCCAGCCAATCTTTATATATATATAATTCTGCTGTACGTGTGTATGTCATTGAATACCTCCTAAACGGCTTGACCGATTTAAATGAATTTTTCTGTATGCGTTTGAGTGGCGCCCTGAATGGTTAAGATTCAGAAATCAGCCCGCCAGATGGCGCTTCAGTAGGATAATTTTATTTAAATGGGGAAAATCATCGAATGACTGCTCCCGCCTAGGTTATTTATATATTACTAGCTTTTACCCGCGACTTCGCTCGCGTCACAAAATAATAAAAAGTAGCCTATGTGACATATACCAATACACACAGCGCCATCTATACCAATACTTTTGTTTTTCCTCGAGAATATCAATTTTTTCCGGGTTAAAAAGTACCCTATTATTTAATCCGGACTTCTAACTTTACGCCTGCAAAAAAGCAAAGCAATCGGTTGAGTAGTTACGGCGTGAAGGTGGAACGAACAAACAAACTCACTTTCAGATTTATAATATTAGTAAGGATACCTATTATTATATTAGACGCAGGACAACGTCTGTCAAGTGCACTAGTGTGTATACATAAAATACAAGAAAACAAAAAAAGTGAGAAATATTCAAATGAAACAGCGTCGCAACGATTTACTCTTGTTCCAACAACTAGAAGAAAATTTATAAAATAAAATAAAAAAATTGAGGAAAACGTCGTCCCAGCGCTGGCGTTGTGTCGACGACGGAGATTATTGAGTCAATTTGCTATGACAATTTTATGCGCCGCGGGTTCGACGCCTGGGAAAATCGGCGAGTTATTCATGCCCTATTTAAACGAATACGGAAGATTTTTCAAGAAACCTTTGAGGATTTGGAGCCAAAATGTTCACCAACTGCCATTAGTATAATTAGTATACCCGAGCGTACGGCGCGTCGCGCCTCAAAGAGCCATCAGACCACCACGGATGGGGCCCAATACGGCTGATGCCGAGCCGCGGAGAACCTAACGGGTAACCGGGGCTCCGGCTCGACGTGCAGGAGAAGGAACGGGGTGGTTTTTAGTCAGTAAGTGTCTGACACTCCCTCCCGCCTCACCCAGGCGGGAGAAGGTATTCAATGATTTTCCACCCTTCAAAAAAACCGCCGTTAGTGTTATTTTTATTTACACATATATGGCTGTGTTAGAGTTACATTCGACATATTAACGAAATCGTCTAAAACGCACGAGTTATCGCAATCGGCGCCGCCCATGGACACTCGAAACACCAAGGCGTTACCAGTGCGTTACCGGCTTTTTGGGAATTGGGAATTTGAAGATTGTGGAGGATTCGGGGATTCGGGAGACGGGGACTAGGGAGGGCCTCCGGTAACGTCACTCACACGACGAAACACAACGCAAGCGTTGCTTCATCTCGGTTTTCTGTAAAGCCGTGGTATCCGGTCACGTACCGAAGCATGGCTCTCCCACACTTTGCGTACACCCGATTGCACAAAGATGGACATAGTCTCTTGAAACAACGACTGTGGCACCTGGCTACTATAGACTTACACGCAGAACACACACACATTGACACGAAGGACATCATGTCGCGTGACATGGCCCGTCATTGCACTTCACACATTACGGTGTTGCAAGTACACGCACACATAAATACACAACTGACATTTTGGTGCTTCAAACCCTTATAAGTGACACTACGTTGCACTACTGTACTGCACTACTGTTGCACTGCTACATTGCACGTACACTGTTTTGTTATACTCTGTCGTTTCTTTGTGTTTTTTTCTATATCTGTATAAAAAGTGTATTTATTTGTTCTTTTCTTTTTTTATTTTGTATTTTTTTTTGTATCTGTGTGCGTGCCTACTGTCGAATAAATGATTTTTCTTTCTTTCTTTATTTCTACGTCACGTTTTTTTCGATGTCCTTCAGTTATCATAACTCCATTAAGTTTGCGAAAGTCCACAGACGGCGTAGATTGCTTACCATCAGGTGATCTACTCATTTGAAATCCTATCTTATGCTTTTATATATATTATATATAACTTACATATATTATATATAAAAAAAAATCTTATACTATTAAATAAAGCGAAAGAGTTTGTTTTTGTTTGTTCTACAAGTCTGATACGTAACTACAAGTCTGATTTAATAATTCTTTTTGTGTTGGATAGCGCATTTATCGAGGATGGCTATAGGCTATAAAACATCACGCCACGACCAATAGGAGCTGAGCAGAGTGTATGAAACCGCGCGGAAGTAGCTAGTACATATAAAGCGGAAGAGTTTGTTTTTTTTGTTTGTTTGTTTGAACGCGCTAATCTCCGTAACTACAAGTCTGATTTGAATAATTCGTTTTTTGTTGGATAGAACATTTATCGAGGAGGGCTATAGGCTATAAAACATCACGCTACGACCTATAGGAGCTGAGCAGAGCGTCTGAAACCGCGCGGTAGTAGCTAGTTCTGTACCTCTAATATAAAAAAATCTAAAGCCGTTCTTTCAGTATAGAACAAGCTAGCTGTATCTGACATGGCGAGATATCGATCGAATCTAAAATTATACACGACGACCATTGCTACAAATACAAATGTTATTGTTTTGAAACCGAGGTTTTTTAAATAGGTTAGTTGTCTAGTTATGTTTTTTTTTTCAATCTCAGTAGTAGCACGGAGTCTGGAAATGTGCCCGGTATATGGCAATAGACTCTTACATGGGACAATAGAGACTTACATGGGACTCATAACGTAAAAAGTGAAAAGTGGGTGTTACATTGTATAATATGTTATGTGTATGTCTTTAACATAACATAACATCACGCCTTTTATCCCCGCAGGGGTAAGCAGTGGTGCACATTACGGCACTTAATGCCACTGCAATGTAACACCCACTTTTCACTATTCATGTTCTGAGTTCCATGTAATAGGGGGTAAGCCTATTGCTAGATGCTATATTATTATACCGGGCACAATTCCAGACTCCGTGCTACGACTGAGATTCTTATAAAAACCCAGTAATACTTTGCCTGACCCGGGCATCGAACCCGAGACCACATGCCCGGCAGTCGCACTTGCGACCACTCGGCCAACGAGGCAGTCAAGGCAGGTATATGTCTGTATATATAGATAATATAATATATCATAGACCTTTTTGGATACTATTTATAAAAAGGTACCTAAAAGTTATTTACTAATAATACCTAGGCCTAAGCAAAACCTAGGTAGGCGTTTCAAAGGCATTCCATCGTTTGCCAAAGGAAAATACACCTAAAGCGGTGTATCAAGTTATTCAGAAAACAATTAGAGCAAAAAGATACCTTACACGACCTATTTTTGAATGAATAGAATGTCTTATTCCGTTGAGAGGCGAGTGATTTAAATGTATCGATAATTTATGTTATCGACATTATTATAAAGTATCGATATGTGATGTGATGACGGGGTATGAAAATTAAAAGTCTAATTAGTCCGTAAGTTAGGTAATGGAAAAATATTAGACACGTATTTTTTAATTTTGTTGTATAATAAAACAATACTTAGATAAAACGAATCAAAGTTTAGCAGTGGGGTAAAACGTCATTTCTACGTATAAAATGTACATAGAAGTGACGTCACGCGACATTTTAAATCAATATATCGTCGAAAGTATTCGTTTCTGTAAGAAAATAAAAAATACGTGTCTAATGATTTAAAATATTCTACCAGACAGACATTAAAATAAATATTAGGCATCTACTCTATTCTACACAAGTTCCCATTTTTAATAATATTTGAAAACGTGTTTTTTCAATAATAAATCTACACGTAGTGTGCAATAATTCCGATTCGGAGTCGCGGAGAACCTAACGGGTAACCGGGGCTCCGGCTCGACGTGCAGGAGAAGGAACGGGGTGGTTTTTAGTCAGTAAGAGTCTGACACTCCCTTCCGCCTCACCCAGGCGGGAGCAGACATTCGATGATTTTCCCCCCTTAAAAAAAAAAAAGTGTGCAATAATTCCCTAAGAAATCGTATTTAGGTTCATCGCGTCTAGACTTTTTGTAGTCTGTTGTGAAAGTTGTAGATTTTTATTATTTTTATACATATTTCGTATACACATTTCTAAATTTTTCTTTATAACGTAAAATATAATTGTATGCCATAATAATTCTAATTATTTATTTGGACCTAAATAAAATTAATATTAACTATTACTAAATGAAAATATATACAACTTAAAATATAAATAACTATGAACTAAAATATTTACACCTTAAATAAAATAATAATAATAATAAATCCTATCTTAAGGCGTCAAGAATGTTTCTCAATTTTACAGAACATATTGTTTAATTAATATATTTACGAGTTTCGTATTATTATTAATGGATTCAAAGTGCGAACTTGGAACCGATTTTCTATTGTCCTTTTCGTTATTAAAATACGACAGTTTGGAATATGCAGATTTTCCTACTGTAACACTTTTAGATAGTGGCGTAACTATACCGTTCGGGGCCCGGGGCAAATTCATCGGATGGGCACCCGTTCCCATTAAAAAACATACAAGTTCTGATGAAAATCTTAGAACAGGATCTCTTCGAGCTGGGAGCCCATAGCATTTTGTCGACTTGCTTAGCCTGTAGTAACCACTGCTTTTAGACATAAACATATGTTTTTTTTTGTTTTTATAATAACTATCGTGAGACATACTAAATTAACTATAGTTAAATCGCGGGTTGCTCACGTGAATATACTGAGAAAAGCTCTACTAGTTTCGGACAAAAGTAGGGCTCTTTCTAATGAGCAGCGTTTGCGGTCGGGACGATCTCGCGAAGCCCACTAAATGAAACTAATAGAGCTATTTTCGGTATAATCACGTGGGTAACCGGCGATTTTTAGTTAATTCAATTATTTTTTTCGAAATTCAAAATTTCTAATCATTTCATTGACAAAACGTCACAAAAACCAAGCTAACCTTCCCACAGGCAGTCAGTTTACGTACTTCATATGAAAAACTATATCGATATTGAGATTTGAATCGATATATTTTATGCCCATGCCTAAGTTGAATCCAAACACGGGCCGTTCAATCGAAGAGGGTCGTATTATTCTTAGCTTTGTAATCTTCTTACTGTGTTTTGGCTTGAATCGAGTGTATTTTAAAGCCGTTTATACCCTAGAGGGGTAAGCAGAGATGTCTAATTTTGGTGTATCGGGAATAAGATGGTCTGTATTAATTTTCATCTAATTTTATAATGGGTTTTACTGTAAGATACTTTTTCATTGAAGATTATTAGATTAATATCTCGTCGGCCGAGTCGGTCGCAAGTGCGACTGCGGCAAGGGATCTCGGGTACGATTTCCGAGTCGGGCAAAGTATTACTGGGTTTCTAAAAAATCTCAGTAGTAGCACGGAGTCTGGAATTGTGCCTGGTATATGGCAATAGGCTCACCCCCTATTAGATGGGACTCATAACATAAATAGTGAAAAGTGGGTGTTACATTGTACAGTGGCATTAAGTGCCGTAATGTGGACCTCTACCTACCCCCTTCGTGGCTAAAAAGGCGTGATGTTATATTATTATTAGATTACAATGAAAAGGGTCACTAGGGAATTAAGGATTTGAGAATTGGGGGATCAGGGAGATATACCTCTATAAAAGGTGTTTACCTGGTAGAAAAGCTGATACTCTGTGTCTGTCAACCTGAGGGCCACCTCCTCAGGAAACCGAAGGATATTCTTCAATGACGCCAACTCCTCGTCGTTTGTCTCCTCTGGTGCTGAAGATCCTGGGGGAGAAAGAGACATTATTGATGATTCTAGTTTATAAATGCTTTTTGTTTTAGATTATTCGGTAAATGGCTATGTAGTAATTTTATTTTGGTTAAGATATATATTTTTTTCTTTTTCTTTAAGTTACTCCCTTACCGGGAGCATTCACGTGTAATGTAACATTATAGATTCGACTTTGAGCATTACATTACAATAATACCTCGCTGACTAACGAGCATTTGCACGTAATGTAACATGTAGATTCGACTTTGAGCATTACATTTCAATAATATCTCCCTGACTAACGAGCATTTGTTGTGTAATGTAACATTATAGATTCGACTTTGAGCATTACATTACAATAATACCTCCCTGACTAACGAGCATTTGCGTGTAATGTAACATGTAGATTCGACTTTGAGCATTACATTACAATAATACCTCCCTGACTAACGAGCATTTGCATGTAATGTAACATATTAGATTCGACTTTGAGCATTACGTTACAATAATACCTCCCTGACTAACGAGCATTTGCATGTAATGTAACATTGTAGATTCGACTTTGAGCATTACATTACAATAATACCTCCCTGACTAACGAGCATTTGCATGTAATGTAACATATTAGATTCGACTTTGAGCATTACGTTACAATAATACCTCCCTGACTAACGAGCATTTGCATGTAATGTAACATATTAGATTCGACTTTGAGCATTACGTTACAATAATTCCTCCCTGACTAACGAGCATTTGCATGTAATGTAACATATAGATTCGACTTTGAGCATTACATTACAATAATACCTCCCTGACTAACGAGCATTTGTGTGTAATGTAACATATACATAGCAGATTCGACTTTGAGCATTTCCTAGCAAGATGTCAGACATTGATGTTACAAGTTGTATCAAGATATTACACATTGTATCGTTACAAGGCGCGCATTGTAATGCTCGGTTCTCCTCCTTCACTGATGTAATGCTCAGATCTGTAACGTTACATTACACGCGAATGCTCCCGGTGAGGGAGCACCTTAGATTAAAATTACCATCATCATCAACAGCCTATAAGTGTTTACTACTGACCAAACGCCACACAACGTCACACGGAGAAAGTTTGAGCATTAATCACCACGCTTGCTTAATGCGGGTTAGCGATTTCAAACTTATAGTTAGAAATTATAAGCCCAGTGTGCTTACTCTTGAAACCAATCTTAATGTCAATGCAATTTCAATCCAATAAAATCTCAATAATTATTGAATGTGAACACTATATAACCACAATCGTAGCTGTTACAATAACATTCAGAGTACGGGATATAAAGACATATTCAATACCATTTAGTTCATTCAATATCCACGCAATACGGATGCAATGGGCGCTAGTGTTGCCACTCAAGAGTACGAAATTTCACAATACCAATGTCGATCGATCGGACATGGATTCAAGAGTAAGCCCCCAGGTTTCCTCACGATATTTTCCTTCACCGTTCGTCAGTGGTGTCTTAATCTTTATATATATAATTCTTCTGTGAGTGAGTATGTCACTGAACTTCTCTCAAATGACTGGACCGATTTTGATGAAATTTTTTGTGTGTGTTCAAGGGGATCTGGGAATGGTTTAGATTCACAAATCAGCCCGGCATATGGCGCTGCAGATGGTGTCTAGATTAGTTATCCTAAATGGCCGAACTAATTTGAATGAATTTTTGTTTTCTACATTCAAGGGGATAAGCAGGACAACGTCTGACGGGTTCGCTAGTAATCTTATAAAGTATATAATATGTATAACTCATAAAAGTTACATTGTACTTGCCATTGGTGGGTTTCAAACCCGCACTCTAAAGCATGAGAAGCGGGCGTTCTAAACCTCCGGGCCACCACGACTTATGACTTGACTACGACTTTAAGTTAAAATATGCTAAATTAATTATTAGTTTTTGATGATTCCTCGTCAAACAGCAACCAGTAGTTCATCCAGTTCATCCTTATTTAAATTTTTAATTTAACATGTAGAGGTATATGCATCCTTACTGGTCTTGTCATAAGGTTTATTTTTCTTTATTTTGTATTGAATGATAGAATTTGTATGAATACAAATAAAACTGCGATTTTAAAAGTATTACGGTCCATTTCGATTTGTTTTAACGATACAAGGTTAATATGACAATAATTTCCGTAGTTTTAATTTTTTTGGGATAAAAAATTACCTATACTAAAAATTATATTAACACGTTCGAGGACAGAACGAGATTATACGTCATCGTTCGAGATTTTAATATCGCACAACGTACGATGACGTTCAAATAACATTTAAATTATACGGCAGAACGTTAATTTCCGATGAAAGTTCAAGTAAAAATCCTTTTAAATGTATCTTGTGTCACAACATATAAAATACCCAACTCTGTACTGTCACGTAGGGTAAGTTTAGAACTATTTAAAATAAGTGTCGTTGATAGTGTGCGGTTACGGTATTCACATACGCACAACGTGTTTATACGTCCCGCGCTCCTACATTCAGCGCGGCTGTGTCACTGTGTACATTACTTTAATGCAAATTAATGATTTTACAGTGTGAAATTGATGTTTAATGGGTTATTGTGTGTTTTAGATGGATATAAGCGCAAAATAAGACACAAGATAAGCATGTTTGATGATTCCGACATCTCCAACGAGGCGGATCCTTACCTAGATGCATATACACGTTGACGTGATAAAACGATTGTGTCATGATATGTTTAAAACGATATTTCTTCATGGGACAATACGTACTGATACGTCGTATAATTTTGTATAGACATGTACTGTGTCATTTTGAAAACCCGACTCAAGTGGTAGCGTCCTCGAACGTGTTAATCGATTCAGTTAACGATTCTGAACAAACTATTTTCGGGATGTGCGTTATTTAAGTTACATGTTGTATAATTATGTAAGTAACGGAAGCAACATGCTACTGTTATATTTATTTTTATTATTAACAAATTGACAAAATCTCAAAAGTAACTTTGACACTACAAAAACGAAAAAAACACTCAAAAATCACTCAACGTGGTCCTACCACGTACTTTGGAAAGAAAACACTTTGACACTGTTTTTGAATTCAATCCCAAAAGTTAGAAAGTTTTGGAAGTCGGAGCCGTTTTCAGCAACGCTTTGTGGATCGATCGATGTTCCTGAGGCAGGGATTCCCAATCTTTTCTTCGTCAAGGACCACGGTTTTATCAATCTTGTTAAGTTGCGGACCACGTGTCGTGGTAGCACGGTTTAAGGGTGCTGCCGTATTTGTTCCACGAATATCCATCACTAACGATTCAATTTGACGTTCAAAAGTACCTGATTAAGGATTAATAAATTGAAATATAATAATATGCTTTGACTTTGACTTTTGCGAGCTGCTCTGTGCAGTCACGACAATGGTTTGGTAACTCGCTTTTTTAAAGTATCTCATGTAAGTCTCATATAAATAATAATTTGCAAATGGCTCGCGAGCTTGCACATTCGCCAGATATGGACGCGCCCTAAAGGTGCCCTCTCACCGGTAACGATACAATGTGTAATATATTGATACAACTTGTAACATCAATGCACTCCAGTTCCCTCAGCCTCATGAAATGCTCTAAGTCGAATCAATATGTTACATTACGCGCAAATGCTCGTTAGTCAGGGAGGTATTATTGTAATGTAATGCTCAAAGTCGAATCTATAATGTTACACATTACACGTGAATATTCCCGGTGAGGGAGCAACTTAAGATACCCGCTTCCCATGCACGAGGGCGTGGGTTAGAAACCAACGGCAAGTACCAATGTGATTTTTTCCGAGTTATATGAAGTAGTATCTATTTATAAGTTTGAAATAGCTAACCCGCATTGAGCAAGCGTGGTGATTAATGCTCAAACCTTCACAGTGTGACGAGAGGCCTTTAGTCAGTAGTGGGCACTCTGCGGACCATCGATTGAGAACCACTGTTCTAAAATATTTGTGGGTCAAAAGGAGCAAAAGGTGAGAACATACTTGAGGAAACTTGAACAGTAATTTTCAAGAAAGGGACGTTTGTTATTGAAGTGCGCGATAGTGTGTTTTTAGCTTTAAATTCTAAGTTTGAGTTGTAATTTTGTAGGAATAATAATGATGTTTTGTAAGACACCGTAGCTCCAATTTCCTGGTTGAAATAAGTCATTTTATTAATAGACCTTATTTACCGATTGGTGAAAATTTCAACATATTTCAAGTCAACTATAAATCGCGGGATACTCACGTGAATATACTGAGAAAAGCTTTACTACTTCAGGCCACAGAGGGGTTCTTCCTCATGAGCAGCGTGCGCGGTCGCGGCGATGAAATATATCGATTCAAATCTCAATATCGATATAGTTTTTCATATGAAGTACGTAAATTGCCTTAGGGAAGGATAGCTTGATTTTTGTGACGTTTTGTAATTGAAATGATATAAAATTTTGAATTTCGAAATAAAAAAAAATCGAAAAAATTAAATTGCGGGTTACCCACGTGATTATACTGAGAAAAGCTCTACTAGTTTCATTTAGTAGGGTGCGCGACATCGCCGCGACCGCGCCTGCTCATTAGAAAGATTCCCTCCGTGATTCGAAACTAGTAGACCTTTCCTCAGTATATTCACATGAGTCCTGAGATTTTTAGGTAATTTAGTATGTCACACGACAAAAGAAAGAAAGAAGTCGTGGTGGCTCGGAGGTTTAAGACGCCTGCTTCTCATGCATGAGGGTGCGGGTTCAAAACCTACCAACGGCAAGTACCAATGTGACTTTTCCGAGTTATATGTACTTTCTAAGATTATTTAGACACCACTGACAAACGGTGAAGGAAAAACATCGTGAGGAAACCTGGGCTTATAATTTCTAATTATAAGTTTGAAATCGCCAACCCGCATTCAGCAAGCGTGGTGATTAATGCTCTAACCTTCTCCGTGTGAGAAGAGGCTTTGCTCAGCAGTGGGCATTTATAGGCTGTTGATGATGATGATGACGACAAAAGAAATACAATGGGGTAGACGACTAATTTTTATTTTAATGTCCGTCTGATAGATTATTTAAAAACATTAGACACGTATTTTTTATTTTCTCACAGAAACGAATAGTTTCGAAGATATATTGATTTGAAATGTCGCGTGACGTCACTTCTCAGTACATTTTATACTAAGGAATGACGTTTTAGCCCCCACTCCTAAAACTTTGATTCGTTTTATCTAAGTATTGTTTCATTATACGACAAAATAAAAAAATACGTGTCTAATATTTTTTCATTACCTAACTTACGGACTAATTATATTTTTAATTTTCATACCCTGTCATCATCCCCATTAAGTATTTCAACTCATACCGAGGTTCATAGACGGCGTATAGTTGGCGGTTATTTGAGAATTATGCATATAATATATCTTGGCATTGCCAGGCATCAAATCCACAAACTCATGCCTTGATGCTGTTCCCGTAGGATTTTCAGGATTTTTTTCTATCATAAGAACCTTCTCCTGACAATAACAGACACAAAAAAAAATCAGCCAAATCGGTCTAGCCGTTCTCAAGTTATGGCGTGACAACGGGAAACGGGTTTTATTTTTATACTAGCTTTTACCCGCGGCTTCGCTCGCGTCACAAAAGAATAAAAAGTAGCCTATGTGACATATACCAATACACACAGCGCCATCTATACCAATACTTTGTTTTCCCTCGGGAATATCAATTTTTTCCTGGATAAAAAGTACCCTATTATTTAATCCAGACTTCTAACTTTACCTCTGCAAAATTTCAAAGCAATCGGTTCAGTAGTTACGTCGTGAAAGCGGAACAAACAAACAAACTCACTTTCCGATTTATAATATAAGTAAGGAGTAAGGATATATAGACTTAATAGGTTATTATACGGACCTTGTGGAATCTAGAACAAATTTCCGCCCATTTAGGTGCTTTTGCCATACCTATTATTGGAAGCAAGTATAACAGCTCACACATAGGACCCACTTAGATTTTAGTCAAATTTCCGTGGTGATTGGCGACTGGGCTTCACCCAGTTGTACATTGCACGACCCAGAAATTGAACCCGAGGCAGCCGCACTTGCGACCAGTCAAAACCTAGCATAGTACTATAATTTAAAAGAGTAACGAATGGACTTTCTTGCTCGTTCTTCTCCACTCGAGTCTACATTTTGGAACGAGCGCCTAGCTTCACTGACGGACAGACTGACAGACAGACTATTATTTATTACTAGCTTTTGCCCGCGACTTCGTACGCGCAATCCCGATATTTCCCGTTCCCGTTCTTGATTTTTGGTAAAAAGTAGAAAAAAAGAATTGGGTAAAAAGTATCCTATGTCCGTCTCCTTTTTCTAAGCTATCTCCCCACCAATTTTCAGTCAAATCGATTTAGCCATTCTTGAGTTATAAATAGTGTAACTAACATGACTTTCTTTTATATATATATATAGATGTATTAGTTGACGTTTCAAAAGTATCAAAGTATGGTTTAATTAAAATAAATGCCTTTGAGTTTTCTTTTTTCAGAACGTATGAAATAAGCTGATACTGGTTTCCCTCCAGTGTAAACTACACCTGAAAGCGAGTGGCCGAGAAATGTTTCAGCACGTAGCTGTTATAAATATTCAGGAGCTGCTGGCCCGAAACTGAAGCTTTCGCAAGTAGGTTCTAATAATTGGAACTTTTATTCCTTGGTTTATTGCCTTTTCCTAGACGAAGGTACAGTGGGCGAGATTTTTAATTACTTTTTTGAAAATAACATTAGGTAACGTCACGCCTTTTATCCCCGAAGCGATAGCCGGTGGTGCACATTACAGCACTTAATGCACTCTTTTCGCTATTTATGCTATGAGTCCCAAATAATAGTGGGTTAACCTATTGGCATATACCCAGCACAATTCCAGACTCCGTGCTACCACTGAGATTTTTTTTATTTAATTTTTTAAAAACACAATGCAATCGTTATTTCACGTCGGATTTCTGTGAGGCCGTGATATCACTTCGGTCGTGCCGGCATTTGTGCCGAAGCTTTCAGTAGTTTCAGCGTAATTGACGGACAAAAATCAAAACATCCAAACATACAAACATCAAAACATGAGAACATTAAATATTATGTAAGTGTGAGATGAAAAATAGTCCAACGAACATTGTTAGGAACTTATTCGTCCGTTAATTCAAAGGTTGATCTGAATTCAACAAAATCTATCACAAAATATAAACTCACCTTCATCATCAAAACCCTGGGCAGTCGCGGAGCCACTAGGCTTTGGTTTAGACCCGTCTCGCATCTCACTCGCACTTATAACAAAATAATATTTTATATCTCACTCTAACACTTCACATAACAATGTTCGTGGCGACATCTAGCGGAGTTTCATGATTTTGGTAATAGCGCCATCTTGTGGTGTGATTGTAGCAACTCTTGGTTTGTTGACATTTTGCGAGTTGTTTTTTGTTATCTGTAACAAGAGGAAATAAGACAACATTATTATTGATATAAATGAATAATGACGATCATGTTGAGGACGCTGTTGGCGCTGCATCGCACTCTACGCACCAGAGATGCGCATCTCTTATGCATCGTAGCGTAAAAGCAGTCCACGCGATGTTCAGCAAACATCCCTGATGCACGACAGAATCGTCCCAGCCCCATCAGCATCCTTAACGCATTATTAAATTGAACTCGAAGGGCGAACGAAGAATGAACGGATCTGAATGACATTTGGAACAGAGTATATTATGGTCTGAGACACAAGCTACTGTTAACCCCACGAGGTTTTATCACCGTAATACGAGTGAAGCAGCTGCCAGGAGCTAGTACATACATTATACATGACTGATTGCGTCTTCCAAGTATAGTTCTAGTTTACGACGATCAATCACAAACTATAATAAGTAAAAGTACAAGAAAAATACTACTTCATCTTTCTTTAGGTAACTTTATTAGGAAATTGAATCAGTAATTATTTTGTCGTTGTTGACTGCCTCGTTGACCGAGTGGTCGTAAATGCGACTGCCGGGCAAGGGGTCTCGGGTTCGATTCCCGGGTCCGGCAAAATATTACTAGGTTTTTAAATATTCTTAGTAGTAGCACGGAGTCTGGAATTGTGCCCTGTATATGGCAAGGGGGAGGGCAGAGGTGTACATTATGCTACTGTACAATATAACACCCACTTTTCACTATTTATGTTATGAGTCCCATGTAATAGGGGGTGAGCCTATGGCCATACGGGCACAAATTCCAGACTCCGTGCTACAACTGAATTTTTTTAAAAAACCCATTCATACTTTGTCCGACCCGGGAATCGAACCCGAGACCCCTTGCCCGGCAGTCGCACTTGCGACCACTCGGCCAACGAGGCAGAGTTACTATCAATAAAAAGTTAACTATTATCAACATAAACATTATATGAGCGGTGATATTATCCAATATCAGGCGATACGGACAGACTGACATATACATTATTATATTAATTAAAATAACGAGTAATAAATATTATTAACAACTAGTTTCTGCTAGCGGCTTCGCCCGCGTTCCCCAGTAACCTATGTATTACTCCAGTTCATAATATGTATATCACTGTTTCAAATTTTCACCCGATTCCTTTAGCCGCCTTGATGTGGTTGAGTATCAAACGTATAAACAAATACACAAACTCACTAACTGTCATATAATTGTGATGTAAGCTAAAGAAGTTACATTTCTAATGTGACAAGCCCGCCACAACCTCTCAAAACCGCTGCAACTCCTGTAAGCCAGCATTTACAGTAGATACAACTATGAAAACACCGGAACACTGAAGTCCGGCGCGTCCCAGGGACATGACAAACTGTCTTCGGTCCCGCAACGAAGTGAATCAGAAGATATTATAAGAGGAGAAGAAAATAAAACGATAGTTGCCACTTCCCTCGGTTAATTACTGCAGGAGAAAGAGTGAATTAAGCCTAAAGGCACAAAGAAGAGACTGTACAACTGGGTGAAGCCCAGTCGCCAAGCACCACGGAAATTTGACTAAAATCTAAGTGGGTCCTATATGTGAGCTAGTAAGGTACCCAAGTTATTAATTTTCTGGCTATATATGACACAAATTTCATCAATGTTTGAGTGTTTATAGTTACAACTAGCTGTTCCCCGCGACTTTGTTCGCGTTCAATATGACTCCTGTTTTATCCCATGGGAGTATTTAATTGGGATAAAAAGTATCTTATCACCTAAGTCAGTCCATACCCTGCCTGTATACCAAATTTCAACAAAATCCGTTCAGTAGGTAGTATCAGCGTGACAGGTACAATCATGAATAGGGTAGACGCCTAATTTTTATTTCAATGTCCGTCTGGTAGATAATTCTAAATCATTAGACACGTATTTTTTATTTTCTTACAGAAACTAATATGTTCGACGACATATTGATTTGAAATGTCGCGTGACGTCACTTCTATGTACATTTTATACGTAGAAATGACGTTTAAGCCCCCACTACTAAACTTTGATTCGTTTTATCTGAGTATTGTTTTATTATACGACGAAATAAAAATATACTTGTCTAATATTTTTTCATTACCTAACGTACGGACTAATTATTTTTTTAATTTTCATACCCTGTCATCATCCCAATTATTATATCAGTGTAATATCATTTCTCGAGCACGCTTTATATAAATCTACACGTAACTACAACAGCCTGTAACCACGCGTTTGGCCTTAACAATAAAATAGCCGAAGCCATTGTCCTTTTTGTATCATTTTTCCTCTTAAATTTTTTCTTTCATAATAAAATATATCGCTAAAGGTTTTCTTGGGCGGCCATTTTTATATGGAACGCTATATTTATATACGTTAACATTATAGTTACATGTGAAAGTGTCTGTCTGTTTGTTTGTTTGTACGTCTTTCACGGAAAAACGGAGCCAGGAATTGATTTGATTTTTTATATGGAGATAGTCTTTTTCTCCAGTGTCGTGGGTGCGTTTAGAAACATACAAGTTCACATACACATGACACCCAGACCCGAAACAACAATCTTTGGATCACACAAAGAGTTGTTCCGTGCGGGAATCTAACCCGCGACACGATGCGTGGCAGCCAGTTACCCAGCCACCGCGCCAACCGTGCAATCATATTGAGTTGAATGGATGGAAAGTAACATAGGTTACTGTTTTGTCTTTTTTTTAAATCTCCACTTCTCTAAATGTGAGTGTGGAAGTTTGTATGGAGCATTTTACAATTTGTTTTCAAATAAGGAAGCTATAAATTGCTTTGAGAATTATTGGTGTTTTAAAAAAAAAAAAGATCGCGCATAATTTTTTTATTGATAATAAGGTAGGCATTATTTCATCTGATGGTAACCGACGATGCGGCCTAATCCCTAAAACACCGGTAACGCACTTGTAACGCCTCTAGTGTTTCGGATGTCAATGAGCGACGCCGATTGCTTACCATCAGGTAACTTTTTTATTTATTTATTTTTTCATGGCATAAGCCGGTAAACGAGCAGACGGATCACCTGATGGTAAGCAATCGGCGTCGCCCATGGACACCTGGAACACCAAAGGCATTACAAGTGCGTTACTGGCCTTTTGGCGATTAGTAGTTTGAGGATCGTTGGGGATTCAGGAATTGGGTAGATTGGGGAAGGGGAGGGTAATTGGGCCTCCGGTAACCTCACTCACACGACGAAACACAACGCAAGCGTTGCTTCACGTTGGTTTTCTGCTCGGCCGTGGTATCACTCCGGTCGAGCCGGCCCATTCTTGCCGAAGCATGGCTCTCCCACACTTAATAAAATGTACATGGTATGGCTTACAATCTAACGTGATTTCCAACAAAACTATACACAAATAATTTGACAGTTAGATCACTATGCTCGTTTACCAACTTATCCCATAAAAAATATTTATTTTGTCTTTCTCTTAAAGAAGCGCGACCGAAGCTGGGAACAGACGCTAGTATATTATATATGTTACGGCTACCGACCAGCGTTTAGGTTACCAAAAAGATTGGATGCTCTCTTATTTATAAGACGTCAGTTTAAACTCCGTTTAGCGTAAATAGGGTTGCTTTTGCGAAAAGACAGGCTGAATAGGTTAATCTTTTGTTCGAAGGGGTAAACAACGCTCATATTTAATGTTAGACTTTATACATGATCTTTTGTACCATTTTTATTTTAAGGAGGGAAAATCATCGAATGATGCACGGTTGGTGCGGTGGCTGGGCAACCGGCTGCCGTGCAACGTGTCGCGGGTTCGATTCCCGCACGGAATAATACTTTGTGTGATCCACAAATTGTTGTTTCGAGTTTGAGTGTCATGTGTATGTGAACTTGTATGTTTGTAAACGCACCCACGACACAGGAGATAATTCTAGTATGGGGCAACTTGTCTATTAAAAAACAAAAATGACTTCTCCCGCCTGCGTGAGATGGATGGGAGTGTCAGACTCTTACTGACTAAAAACCACCCCGTTCCTTCTCCTGCATTTCGAGCTGGAGCCCCGGTAACCCGTTTGGTTCTCCGCGACTTCGAATCGGTATCAGCCCTATTGGGCCTCATCCGTGGTGGTCTAATGGCTCTTTGAGGACGGTCTTCTGTACCATGCGAGGGTAAGAAAGAAGTGCACATCACGTCCTAACAAACTTGAATATTTTATTTCGTTAATGGTAGAGCTGTGTGTAGAACATTGTGGATATCTTTTTAGAGTATACACTATCAAAGCTAAACAAATAAACAAGGTGTAGTTTTGAAGCCGTATCATTTCTCGGGGGCATGCCACAGAAGTCATAAAGGTGCAATGTAAGAGAAATTTTCAGGCCAATAGTTAAAAATACGGCTATAATAAATTTTTTAAGTTCGACAGTATTTCAGAATAAGCGACAGCAATGTTTCTTATTGGAGTTTTATGGAATTAGGAATAATATCAATTACGTGTTTGAGTTTGTGTGTGTTAAGCCTCGTTATAAAGCTAGTTACAAGACAGCGGCGTGTACTTTGCACTTACGGATTACCGTAATTTGAGAAAAATGAAAAATATTTACCTACAATTCTTTTTATTGATTCGGACTTAGAATCGATAGCAGAGTTACCTCCTAGAAAACGACGCGGCTTTAAAACAACACCTTGTACACAGGGTGGAATTTTGTAATGACACCTAAAGGGGAATTACTCTTAATACTTTAGATAGCAAATTTTACTCAAAGAAACCATTCCTTTTTTTTTGAAAAGATAAAAACGGCATTCGAAGATTTTTAAAAATTCGCTTGTCGCAAACGGTAATCGAACCGACTAAAATCTGTAAAAGTTGCACCCTGTTGTAACTAGGCTTCCAAAGTGTAGTTTCGAATGGAGAAGAACGAGCAAGAAACTTCACAACTCTATTTAACCCTTAAACACAAAACACTCATGTTATGGTATGTTAGAATTAGTAATTAGCAAGTTGTTTAGTAATTTGAGGCGTGAGGCGGCTGGGGGGTTGAAGAGAATGGGGGTAAATTGGGCCTCGTTTACCGGCTGAAGCAAGAGTCTTTGTTTACCCACT